TAGAGTTACAACATGACAAGGATAACCCATTGTTAGAGTTACAACATGACAAAGATAACCCATTGTTAGAGTTACAACATGACAAGGATAACCCATTGTTAGAGTTACAACATGACAAAGATAACCCATTGTTAGAGTTACAACCCAACAAGGATAACCCATTGTTAGAGTTACAACATGACAAGGATAACCCATTGTTAGAGTTACAACATGACAAGGATAATACATTTGTTAGAGTTACAACATGACAAAGATAATCCATTTAATATGATTAAAATTCAACGAGTAGAATCATTTTTTGCAATAATAAAAACACGAACTAGAAAAACCCATTAATTTTAATCAGAAATATGACAAGAGGAACATATGTATTTAACATGGCAAGAACAAACCGTGTTAAGCCTGAACAAAGAGTTTTTTTTCTAATCTCCTCAGGTGTCCTACATTAAAGCTGTAGATGTTTGGAATCTCAGCTGTACTCTTCTTGTGTTCTTTGCCTTTCTGGAGTTCCCGCTCGTCAACTTCATAGCCAGGAAAGCCAGAAACAAGCTGGCCGCTCAGATGACTGATCCTGATAACCAAAAGTCTACAGAGCAGAATCCAAACCGGATCTTTCAGGTTTGTGAACGGATAGAAAGTTACTCGCCATAATATTGTTGTAGTTAATTTGGGCATTAATTAAAAACAAAAAATTTTATATTATTCTTGCTTGCGTTTTCTGAGGACACGATGTTCCACGTGAATTCAAACAAGGCAGTTTTCTGATAGATATATTGCTTCTTGAACAGATTGACCTTAATGTTGTGGAACAGACTTAAAACTATAGAAGTTTGTCTCTTAAAACTACTCGGGCTGTGAATCTGAGAGCTCTTGGTTTATGTACCGTTGCCTTGAAAAGGCACTTTGGGCCTTGGAAGCCTTACAAGAATGGCGGTCAAATCTTACAGATCGGACAGACAAGAGTAGCTCAAGGGTTGGCGGCAGATGCTGTTTACTAGCTGACTTCCCTGTAGACATTCAGTTAAAATTTGTTATGCGCAGATACGCCTTGGCTAGATTTGCGCAATTCTGAAAGAACAACAACAATAACAACTTAAAGCTACAAACACCATGGAAACCATCTTTTATTAAATCAAGCTGACTTACTCATCATCTTCTCAGACGAAATATCAACATTTTGCTATAAATAAGTACCTTAGCAAAGGGCATTTTTTTTAGGCTTCGATTTTGCTTCATTCGAACCATTTCTAATATCTAATTTGATGCACTAATACGTCAATGAATAGTTACCGAAATTTCTAGATTAAAAATCTTTGTCCCAGGTAGATCAGCTGTAAGGACTTGGAACGCAAAAACCCGGGGTTCGATCCGGTAGATCAGCAGTAAGGACTTGGAACGCAAAAACCCGGGGTTCGATTCGGTAGATCGGCAGTAAGGACTTGCAATGCAAAAACCTGGGGTTCGATTCCCCGCGATGGACAAAGTTCAGTTAGCCAATTGCGTAGCTCTGTATTAAGAAAACAACTACAACATTAGTGATCTTTGATGGTGAAATTCCGGACTTCATTTAAATGGAATACAAATACATTTCTCTTAGCGAATATTATTGCCTTAAAATGATTTTTCAGTTTTAAAATGTTAAAAAAAGTACGGTGTAATGGATTTTTTTTCTCTGTTTTATCAACCGACACTGAATGTTTTTATTTCGTTTCTGTTTGTGTGATAAATCATGCGTATGTTTTTCCATTTCTGGAGATTACAAATCACAATGATAGGATGCTGTATTGTTTGTTTGTTGAATTCCGCGCAAGACTACTCGAGGCTATCTACGCTAGCCGTCCCTAATCTAGAACAGATAGAATAGAGGGAAGACAGCTAGTCAACACCAATTACCTCCCTAATCTAGAACAGATAGAATAGAGGGAAGACAGCTAGTCAACACCACTTATCTCCCTAATATAGAACTGATAGAATAGAGGGAAAACAGCTAGTCAACACCAAATTACCTCCCAAATCTAGCACTGATAGAATAGAGGGAAGACAGCTAGTCAACACCACTTA